ATTATATACGAATATCCATCTTCTGAAGGCTACTTCCAGCAGGATAAAAAGCTCAGATCATCTCAAACATGATGATGAGCTCACTGGAGTCCAACAACCTCCACAGCCTCTAGATCCCAGTCCAGTCCAGAATCTTTTAGATGTGGACGGGGAATTTACATCACAGCTGGCAAATCTGCACAAACTGTGTGATGCAATTCTGCCATTAAGATAACCTAAAAACTATCGTTTGAGCAAATATTTGCCCGCTCTGGAGACCAAGGACAACGTGTGAGGTTTGCAAACAAATGGAGGCCATTTATCGCTCTTTTACGAGCTCTTTTACAAGCTCATTAATTTCATAGCAACATTGCATGATTATAAATACATGATTGTGTCTTCTTCTTTTTTTTTTTTTTTTTGTTGTTTTTTGTTCTCTTTTGTTTCTGTTGATGCACCAATGCTGGAATGTGATTTACCAGAGAGACCCTTCCCTGGCCGTAGGAGGCAGTATCTACCTAAATCAGAGTAAGACCGTACCAACGGATGGCTGTTACGGTCAAAAATCTCTGGGAGCGCAACCTCCAGCTACATGACACAGCAGACTCCCTTTCATCACTGGCAACGACCAAAGAGGTAAATGTGTAAAACAACAATGTTTATGAATGGTGAAAGTTTTATGATCGCTTGTTACAAATCAGTAAATGTATTTTTTCCTCATGGGCTCACATACAAGGAAACATGGCATCTAATATGGCGTCGCCCAGAGACTTAGGCCCAATCCCAATACTGGCACTTCCACTCTTGCGCCCTTCAATTGCATGATCCCAACCAGGGGTGCGAGTGCGTAGGTTGTCCCGACTCTCAAGTGCGGAAGTTGATCCCGCCCCTGTTGCACCCTTGAGCCACACTTCATCCAAGTCTGCATTGATTGTGGTATTACCAAGCCCCCACAATGCGAGTGAAAAATTGAGGCCAACGTGGAAGTGAAATAACTTGCAGTTCCACCCTCATCCACTAGGGGCTGGTGTCAGAAGCGAGCAAATCCTCATTGACTCCCATGTTAAAAATACCAATTTCACAGCAAATATAAACATGTTTACAGCCTGGTACCAAAACATGTTTTTTGTTTAAATGATCTAGTTTACACTCATGACAACTCTGAGGGGGGTGAATTTTTTTCTCACTCTTCTGTTTAAGTGTATTAAAAGCCTAAAATTCTGTATGATTAATGGGCATCTGACCCATGTGACCGCAAAGCTAGCTCCGGGGAAAGGCCTCAGCCTGAGCCTCGGCCTCGCCTGAAAACTGTTCGGTCATTTTCAGTCTCTCAACTTAGACCATTAGTTGTAGCGTTTGTGTATTCTTTTTTGGATATTATTTGTGCAATTGTTGGACAAAACGACTTGCTGTGGCATTAATTGCACTAATAGAGCGTCCAATGAGTCTCCACTTCATCTTTTTCGGTACGTAAAATTATATTTATGTATTTTAGGTCACTGCCGAGCTGAGCTTAGATTTTAACATGTACTGTTTAACCATGACATTTATATGTAATAGGGTAAAACCCAGTGCATTTAACATAATGCTGCACTTTAGAAAATGGGTTGAAATATAACATGTTGGTGGAGCTGGGTTCCTGATATCGGCTTGTGGAGCTCTCGGGAGACCGATGTTTTCACCCGGTTCTCCCCTCCCCGCAGCTCGGCGCATCTCTGTCTGATCGCAGCTTCTGTCTGCTGCGCAGGCTGCCGGCTTGTGGAGCTCTGGGATGGAAACCTTTCCACCCGGTTGTCCCCAGCGGCAGCTCTGCGCATCTCAGATCGCAGCGGCGCTTGTCTGCTGTGCGGCTGTCGGCTTGTGGAGCTCTTGGGAGACCTCTGTGCTCCACCCGGTTTTACCCAGCGGTCAGCCCGGCGTATCTCTGACTCAGAAGCTCTGGTGTTGTGCAGTTAACTCCAGTTGTAGCTAGGTTGCTACCTCCATTAGCTTAGCTCCCACCTCCGTGTTAGCTTTGGGTTAGCTTCAGGTTAGCTTGTAGCTAGTTCAACCGGGTGTCGTCAGCTGATCCCGGCCTTACAGCCCCACCCTCAGCTCCACCTCTCTTCCCTTTTGTGGAAATGTCTGGGCTTGACGGAACCTGTGACACAGTCAAAATGGCGGTGGTGGCCACCTCCCATTTTTCTTCAAAAACGTGTTATTGTAGTCTATGGAAACCCATTGTCCAATATTTATATGTCGATGGGTATTACCCACAATCCATTTCTGCAGGAGAAAAGGCTCAAGTACCTTTTCTGAAACTATGTTTTTTCGAATGAAAGTCGTTCATTTTAGGACGATTAGTTGATGCTCTTGCAGAAACGCATGTAAATTTATTTCAAATAATTGTTTTTTTGAAAGTTAATAAAGTTTTTTTAAAGTATCACAGCAACCAGCATCCCGGCATGCGTTGCAATCGATGACACAACACTCCCTGTCTCAATTCGGCAATTATTTGCACGCTTGTATACTACGTACTCGAGCCTTACAGCACACTTCCTCCAAGTGCACGTTGTTGAAGACCGCCGGGCGAGTACTGGGATTGGGTCATGTATAACTTAATCAGGCATTTATTTTAGACCCCATTTTTAAAGTTAGATGTTACAAAGCTGCCAAAATTTTTCCACTACTGGACATCATTTAATCTATTTTCAACAACATTTTGACGGATATTTCCAGAGATTAACTACACATTCTCTCTTCAATTGTAAACTCATAAACTCAGCTTTGTCTGCAAAATAGTCACTTAATAGAAACATTTCATAAAATCAAACCAAAATACCTGTGGGGTTTAAACATTTGCTTTTTTCACTTCCTGTTTCAGGATGGTCTTCTTTGCACATAGCTCGCCCGTTTTGGGGGCTTCCCTGCATGTCAGCTTATTTACCTTCAGAAGTTCCTGAGAGCTTGATTCGTGTTCACTCAGCTGCTTCATATTATTCAGTTCTTTGCTGAAAATCATAACGTGTTCATCCTGCCTCAATTACAGAAAATTAAACGTTCATGACATCCTTAATCAGATCACGGTTCAGTTTTGATCATTTTTGTCAAAAGGAAAGAGAAAGGCCTGACGTTATTCCATAAAATCAGAATAACAGATGTACAATTTTATTGTAAGAATAACTTTTAACAATAAAATAAAACTCTTAAGTGTTTACAAAACTAAAGACCATCCAAACTCGGCTATGGAGCAAATAAGACATAATTTTCTAACAGATGATGTATTGCCCCATCAAACATCTGCTGTTGGAATGGAATTACGAAGAGCTTATACACACATGTCTTGTTCAATGAAACTACACACTTAAAACTGCTGGGTTAAAAATAACCCAATTTAGGTTGTTTTGTAACCCAGGCGCTGGGTCAAAAATGGACCGACCCAATGTTGTTTTTTTTTTAACCAAACAGGGTTGGGTTATGAGTTTGACCCAGCTTATTGGGTTATGCTTTCTACCCAATCAATGGGTTAAAATGACCCAACTGTATAGTTAGGACTACCTAAAACTGGGTTAAAAATAAAACCCCACTTCTGGGTTATTAAATTACTAAAGCTTGGATTAAAATGACCCAATTCTATAGTAAATACAATACAATAAATAAAATACAAATTGAATAATTCAATAAAATTTAAACTCTTTATTAGTAACATCTTACCTTATTTTAAATCCTTACTGGTGTGAAGCTCCATTAATGTCCGTGTCAACCTCTGGTTTAAAATGATGAAGCGGGCTCACAGACAAGGGGGAGAATCTTACTATTTCCTGCATTTGTTACTCCAATACGCTGGGTCAGAATTTTTAACCCAATGATGTGTTAAATTGACCCAACCTCTAAAAATTCAGCCTTAACCCAGCAGTTGGGTTAGAAAAATATCCCAGCATTTTTAAGAGTGTAATATAACGTGCATGTAAGAACTTCACACATTTTTCAACTTGTGTTTGGTTGATTATTTCTTTGTCATAGCAATGCTTCTTGCATATATCTTATATAGGGAGCCTAAATCTCCTCCTCTTGTGGTTGGCTCATGGGTCTCCTGAACAAAAGAAAAATGAATGTCGATGAACAAGGCCATAAACTTATTTTTCAGTCAGCTTTGCCTTATGCCCTGAAATGTATGAACTTCGATTTCAATAAAGTTAAAGTCCCATTAGTCATCACACACTGGTGAAATTCCTCTTCATGTTTGACCCATCCCCATGGGGAGTGGTGAGCTGCAGCGGTGGCTTTGCTCGGGAACTATTTGGTGGTTTTACCCCCCAATCCAACCCCTTAAAGCTGAATGTCAAGCAGGGAGGCACTGGGTCCTAATTTTTGTGAAAGCCTTAGCTATGACTTAATTGGAATTTGAACCCCAATCCTAGGGTGGACTCTACCACTAGGCCACCGAGAAGGTAAAATAGTCAATAATTATGTGTGTTTCGACTATGTCTGTGTCGTGTAATTTGAGATTTATTTGCTTTCAGAGATCTGTAATTAAAAAGACTACAAATCAGACATTGCATGCATGACATCACAGCAGGATCTCTTCTGCCCCAGCGTAGCTGCCACTTTCATGGCCAGATTTATGGTGGTTTCCTCCACGTTGCCTTATGTTTAGTTATCCTTCTCTCGTCCTGGAAGACGGATGCAAAACTTGCAAAACTCAGCCATTTTTTTCTCTTTGTCTGCTTTGATAATGTAAATTTGCTGAGTTGAGCAGTGTCACACAAAACCTAAAGCAACTTTTGCCACCTGTGGAAAATAGGCGCTTTCTTGGCATCAAAATGTGTCTTTAAAATTCGCGGACATCACATGTGAAATTCATGGCACATATGAAACAGGATCAGAAAATAACTTATAGACTACCATTTGTTTGTTTGGCAATGCAGCCCATGGTCTAGAAGTAGGCTCCCTATTGCTGGAAAACTTATATTTTTGCAGAACTTCTTAGTGATAAGTGATGCCATGTGGTCTAAGAAGAAAAGGTTCTTTGTAATCACAAATGAAATGGCACAGTTTATTGAAAACCTGATATTTGGCATTAGAGGGACAGAATGCAGACTCACTTGTGCCATTTAATGATGATAAAATTATCTTGATAGAAGAGAGAACGTGTTATTTTGATGTATTCAGCACGTTTTCTCTGGTTTCCATCCACAGGTCAAAATCATGTCGGTTAGTTTAACTGGAGACTACACAGTCCTTAGGTATTAATGCATGAATGGTTATTTTATTGTACGTGAGCCTAGCCTAGCCTAGAAATCTAGACAAACCGTAGCAGGTCTGTCTAGCCACACTCCATTGTAGCCTCAGCAGGTCTATCATTGGCCCAAACAATTTTAGGTTGGCCCAATCACAGTGCTCTGTGTTTGTAGAGAAACGTTGGGCGGGCTTAACAAAGGAGCAGCAACGGAGAAAAACTACAAAGATGGTGCCAGGTCAGGAACAGCACTCGTTCAACATAACTTTGGCAGATTTATTAGACTTGGGCTTGGAAACATTAGCAGATTTCAAATAACGATCCATTTGCTTCTTCTTCTTCTTCTTCTTCTTCTTCGACAGTGTATGGCAGACTGCTTTTGACTGTTGCCATAGCGATGAATACCTCATGCAATTTGTTGCTCTAATTGGTCCTAGCAATGTCCAATAACGTACAGAGACAGTTTGAAGGAAACCTGTCGATTCTGCTCCACGACTGAGTCTGTATATGGGTCAAAGCAAGACAATATATTTACACATGCATGATGGCTTACCCAGCTTAGAGCATTTTAGCTAAATGTATCAAAGTGCTTCTCAATAAATCTCATACAAAGATGTCAATAAAATCAGGATTCATTGATGATCATTCAAAGCCTTTTTTGATAAACCAAACTTAACTGCAAGGGATCTTTGTTTGTGGGAGTTTCCAGTTCTGGTTTGCACATTTCTTTTGACTTGATGCAGGAAATAACCCTCCTTGATGCACAAAGGGAAAGGTTTCCTGTTCTATGTGAGAACATCCGCAACACGTATACTCAACAAAGTCAAAGTGAAATTAAATTGACATAAGTGTGAGTTTACGTCAACAGCAGCAGCGGTTTTTCAATCCACCCTGAACAGGTTTTAATCACAGCAAAAACCTCTGATGCTTCTTTTTTCTCTGTCGTCCTGCCAAAGTTGGGCAGTGGTGTCACTTCACCCTCTTATGCGCGTCACCTCCACAGACCGAGTCACTCAAGTCGCACCCGGACTTCGTTTCATTATGAGTCAGGTTTTCTAAGTCTAAAGAAGAAAACAAATCAAGTCATTAAAAACAGTTTCCTAAAAGCGTTACATTATTCCAGCAACTTGCAGGAGGTTTAATATAAAGATGATTGAATCAGTGACTTACACCTGTAGACTGTCCTGTAGACCAGACTGAAACCATGGTCTGGGTTCTTGCTCAGGTCAATGTAGTAGTAGAACCTCATTTCCTGTGGGTACTCAGCGTGAGGCAGATTCTGAAGCAAAGGAATCATCCTGTTGGACATGGGTCCCTCTGCTAGAGCCTGATGCATCACATAATTGCACCAATCATCCTGCACAAAACTGGGAGTGATGAGCAACGCCCGGATGTGGCTGTCCTGCATCGCCTGACAGAATTCTGTGGCAATGGCGCCTCCTGGACAGGTGTCCCTGTGCCACAAAAAGCACCGGAGGCTGCGAGGCACTGCCTCGAGGAAAAGTACCAGGCGTATCGCCTCTTCGATGTCCGTTTGAGCAGAGCTGTGGCACACAAACACGTCATATTTCTGCCTCCATCTCAGCTCTGAATTAAGCGCATTCCTTAACTGGCGGGGTTCAGAAGGGGTCAACGGTAACAGCGAGGACGATGAAGATGATGTTGATAGAATACTGATAGGCATTGCTGAGTTTTCTCTTATGTTGCCTTTTCCACATTGTGTTGATGAAGTTGTTCTAGATTTTATGTGTTTTTGCAACCAACCTGAAAAAAACACAACAAAACAAGACAACAAATTTTCAGATTCATTCATATTCAGCAATGTGTCAGAGGTTGCAACACGTTCTCACACCCAGCGCGTCTAAAACAAACGCTTGGTCAGCCACCCTCCACGTCAGACCCCTGATGCCAAAAGTGCCCTTTTTCGTTACTTATGTGCGAAAAGGGGTTTTCCCTTATTTGACTGCAGATCCCAATGCAGTGTAAAACTGAAGCGATGGGATGTCCGCTACCGTTGCATCCCAATGCAGCGTTACACTGACGTGATGGGATGTCCACAGCCAGGACACCAAACAAGCTCATTGTACCTCACCTTAACCTTATCCTCTTATTTAACCTTCCCCTCACGCCTATCCTAACCTTAACCATCTTGCTAGCGAACACGTTAGTGATGTGTCGATCGCTCTAAAAGCCGGCTCTATGAAGAGAACGGTGGGAGCCGCCTCGTGATGGCGAGTTGGTCGAGTTTGGACCGAGCCAAAGCGAGGGGGAGGTTTCAACTACCACGGTGGAGGTGGGTATGTGTAACCTCCCCCTCGCCAGATGGTATGTTCTAACGTTCCCCTTGGGCGGCAAATACGAAAATTGACAGTCAGACTCTGACTGTCAGAGTCAGAATGCAGGGGAAACAGACGCTTGATCACAGTGAGAGTAACGTTTAGGTAGCAAGAGGGTTAAGGTTAGGATGAGGGAGAGGGGAAGGTTATAAATAGTGAAACGTTAAGGTTTAGGTGCGGTTAAATGAGCTGGTTCTGTGTCGCATCAGCGGATATCTAATCACGTCAGTTTTACGCTGCATTGGGATCTGCAGTTACAAAAGGGGAAAACCCCTTTTCGCACATAAGTAACGAAAAAGGGCACTTTTGGCGTCTCGGGTCTGACGTGGAGGGTGGCTGACCAAGCGTTTGTTTCCGACGCTTAGGGTGTGAGAATGTGTTTCGTCAGAGACAGAAATAGACTAAATGTTACTTAAGCCAGTCCAAATAAATAAAATACCATTCTGTTACTTTCATATGATAGTTAATGAGTCATAGCTTCAGGAGCTGTTCCTTAGTCTTGTTGTCCAGGCTTTGATGCTGGTCAGTCCACTGCCAGAAGGCCTGATGGTGAATCTCTTTGTAAATCAGAACCGTATCTGAACCCTTTAACTACACTGACTGTGTTGGCGATCATGTGCAAGTTCAAATATTTAAATGTTTCACCAGTTCCTACTTTGCCTTCACTGATGAAGAGAAATGTGATTTACGCTCAGATTCTGAAATCCTCATCTGTCATTTTTGCCACATTGATGGCTAGCTTTGTCATGGTCTGCCTCGTGTGTCTCCTTGTGTTCTCCATCCCTCTCTCATGTGTCTCCGTGTGTTCTCCATCCCTCTCTAAGTTTCCCTCATGTGTCTCCTTGTGTTCCTCACGTGTCTCCTTGTGTTCTCCAGCCCACTCCAGGTTTTTTTCCCCTTAGGTGCTCCCCCCAGGTTTCAGCATCCCTGTGTGTCCCCAACCCCCTCCAGGCTCTCTAGTTTCCCTAACGTTTTTCTTTGGACACCTTTTATCATTAGTCTTCTGTTAAGTGTTTTCTCTAGTCTGTTTTCTCCCTCTAGTTCATTTTGCTCCCTTCCCCATTTTTAGGTCTGGTTTCCTCCCCTGCTCCGTTGTGCTCCTCCTCTGTTTATTGGTCTCACCTGTGCACAATTTCCTGATCACCCAGCCCTTGTGTATATAACCCTGTCTGCGTCTCAATGTAGTTGTTGGTCGACTGTTTGTGTCAGCGTTGTCTCGCCCCTTCTCTAGGTGTTTGGAATTTCTCCATGTCTCTTGTGTTTTAGGATATTCCCAGGTTTTAATACTTGGATTTTTGGTTTTTGGCTTCCAGCCCTTTGGATTTACCCCTAAATAAAGGATTTTTACGTTTTCACTACTCCTGCCTTGTGTCATCCTGGGTCTGCATCTTGGGTCCTAACCTCCCCCCAACTCGCAGCGTGACAAGTTTACCACAAAGCTCAACTCGCCCCCAGAGAGGGGCGGGAGCCAGCTCAAAAATAACCAATCACTAAAAAGGCGGAAATGCCACGTGTTTTTTTTTTGTTTGTTTTTTTTTTTTGCTGTAGTCAAAAGTGGCGTCTGGTGATAGCGCAAACATCTTTCTTTAGAAGAAAAGCTTTTAGCACTTCTACTTGTTCTGGTTTTAAAGACACATCCAAGTCATTTAGAACAGACGAAAGAGCTGCAGCAAACTTGGCTTCAGACGCCATCTTGTTTATGAGAAACTGAGCGTTGCGGTGTGTGATATACATCTTGTAGGGAAACTGGTATCTCAAATGTTCTAAAATTAGACAAGAAATCAAGAAGTCAAATCCTGCACAAACGGAACAGTAAATGTAGAGAATAAAAATGAACAGTGTCCTGTGGGGGTGTGCTTGTTTGACTGAATTAAAACATTTTGCAGGAGGCTTTATGCTGTCCACTTCGGAGACGTATTTTGATGAGCAAGCCAAAGTTTGTCCAAGATCCAACTCCACGATTCTGGTGAACTTCTGAATGATTTTGTCTTTTGAAAGAAATTGTCCAACTCCCAGAATTTGCTGACCCAGGGTCAATAGAGCCTCCTTGTTCTGGTTCTCTTGGATATTTCATTCTGTTTTTCCTTCTTCTGTCTCCCTGTGGTGAGGGGCTGTGGCGAAGTAAACATTTGATCCTTTATAGTAATTGTTTAAACTTGTTAGCCTCCTGAGTCTGTCTGATTACACTCCCTTTTATAACGCGCCCACTTGTGGTGCAATAATAGTAAAGGCTGAAACTACAAGTGGCTCATCGGGATGCATCTAGAATCCTCCTGGTGTTCCCACGGTGCACTTCTGCAAGTCAGATGTTTGCCGTGTGGTCCTTTCATGCACTACCGAAGACCTACATGTATAAACTCATCTGCTGTTTCAGTACGTCAAATATTGTAGTTGATGCCCTGTCAGCTTTAACATGCAGCGACAAAAATTATTCCTCAGGTCTTTACTGGAACAACTTCCTGATTGAGACAGGAATGCATTTTTATTGGTTTTACAAATTCATCATCTTTGCATCTATGTCTTGGTTTATTTTAGGCGTCTAATGATACGGACAAAATATTTGTCTGGAATAAAGTTTGATTGTATTACTACTCGACTGAACTGATTGTAAAAGATAAAGGGGTTTAAATCTAGACTTGTTCTGATTCAAATTGGACTTTTGTTGTGAATCGGCTTGTTTAATTAAACCTAACATTCAGGGTAGATTTGAACTTTGGGCCAGGTCACACAAGAGAAAAACCACTATGGCTAACTGCAATTTCACACAAAGTCACCACAGAAAAACTGACTTTTGGCTTTCCGGCAGAGACTGGTTTGGTTTCAGATCAAGTTCCCTGTTGCGTGCAGCAATATTTCTATTCATCACTCTTTCTTCTGGTTCTTAGCCAGGAATCCAGCAGGTACTAGGCAGTTTGTGTTTAAGTGCAAATAACATCCAGTCCATAAGGGTTTTTATATTAGACAAACAACTTGGCAAAGAGTTCAAACATGTGCATTTTAACATGAAAAGGACTAAATAATAGTAAGAATACATTTCTGAGACTCACCATACATGTCAATACCAACATTCTAGTTCAGCTGCATTCCAGAGTTCTTCCAGCTAATAAATAACCGCCCAGTGGTCCTTTAGGAAGAGTCCATCTGCCCCCACTCTGAGATGGGAGCTGCACACAAAGAAGCAAACACAAAGTAATTGACATTACTTAAAAATAAGAGGAAGTTGCTGTTTGCTGGAAGAGACGCCCAGAAATGTTCACTCAAATTTCAAATGCAAAGTCCCTCAGACTTGATACTTGATTGAGCAAAAAGTTAACCCTTTGGTTAAAAAAGGAAAAGAAAAAGAAAACATCTAGTTTTCAGGTTGATACTTGTTCTGAAAACAGCTGGACACTTCACGGGCATAATGTTCCCGCATTTATGAGTGAAATGTTGTCATTACTAAATCTTATCTGATCAAATGAAAAAAACATTAAAAATTATTACTACTTTGAAAGTAAAAAGTCAGACAAAGAATTTGAATTGTACACACAATTTATAAAATACTGCAAATAAATGCCAGTACAGTCAGAAAGTACCCGTGGGATTAAAAGAGCCTTTTCACAACCCTTAATTTCACCGTGTAAGAGTTGTTTTATTTTGAAATGTATGATTATCATAGGATTGTTAAACATTAGTAAATCTGTTGCTTTAATCATAAAATATTCTGAGGGGATAATTCAGAAATCGAAACAGGTATAAAGTTTGTGTCCAGTCATTTCCTTTGCAGGAACAGAATTAGGTGTACATCCTGGTATTTTAACTGGCCATACAGGGCTTTAAGTGGGGCGGTAAGCACCGGTACTTTTACCTTTCAGCATACCAGGTGTTTTTTTCCAGGGTACAATGCATATTTGGTTTTCTGGTCAGTCAAAATCTGAGATTTCTGAAAAATAATCTGTTTGTTTTCAAGTAAGCACCCACAGGCGCCCCCAGCACTGCTGCTCCTGATACGCAGAGCACACTCCATGAGGGGCCTCATTTTATACACGAGCTTCTTCTCCAGGCAAGCAAAAGGTGCATCACTGCTGGGAGGCGCACCACGGCATCAGCTACCGCCAGCCCAGACAAGAGAGGAAAAAGGGAACGAGTCATCCTAGACCCAGGGGCAGGTCCACGGTATCTTCTGGAAGGGGGCAATGTCATAAAATGGAGTTGTTGTTGGACCCAAATGCAGAAATCCCATAAGCAGCCAGGTACGGTGGTTTTAAATTCTTTAATCCAGATCAGATCAGGAGAACAAGGAACCAACAGCGAGTGAAGAACTGAGCAGACTGGGCAGTGAAGAGCGAACAGGTATGGTGGGTACTGGTGTAAATGTTTAACAGGACACTGGGAAGAAACTCAAAAGCTGCAGGGGGAAACAGAACTGTGGACTAACTGAACATAGCAAACAGAAAATAAATCGCTAGAAAAGAATAAACAGGAAACAGGAGTGTAATAAATAAATGGGCTGAACTAATAAACAGAAGACAAGAAGCAAATACCAACACTGGAAAAAACCAAAACAGGAAAGCAGACGAGGATGAATGAGTCTAACTAAACTAACTGAAGACCAAAAGAATAATAAGGCTGAAGTCAACATGAGGAACAGGATGACTAAAGAGGTACGAGGACCAGTGTTATGTTAAAAGTCATTAGTTACAGTTACAAATAACTTTATCCAAAAAGTAATTGAGTATGCGACTCAGTTATCACATTGCAACAGTAACTGGTCACGTAGCAAAGTAACTTTCAATTCTATTTTTCAATTTACGTTTATTTATATAGCGCCAAATCACGACAAGAGTCGTCTCAAGGCACTTCACATAATAAACATTCCAATTCAGGTCAGTTCATTAAGCCAATCAGAAATAATGTTTCCTATATAAGGAACCCAGCAAATTGCATCAAGTGACTATACAGCAATCCTCATACTAAGCAAGCATGCAGCGACAGTGGAGAGGAAAACTCCCTTTTAACAGGAAGAAACCTCCAGAGAATCCTGGCTCAGTATAAGCAGCCATCCTCCATGACTCACTGGCGATTGAGAAGACAAAGCAGACACACACACACACACACACACACACACACACACACACACACACACACACACACACACACACACACACACACACACACACACACACACACACACACACACACACACACACACACACACACACACACACACACACACACACACACACAAAGACAAAGTAATGTGTCTATGGTTACGTTGTGATTTCTTAGTAAATATTCTATTTGGTGAGAGATAAACTTTATTGTATTTATCCTAGTGGATCTATAATTAAACAGATAAACTAGCAGTAGCATATCCAACGTCAAGGAAAGCAAAAGTTATTATCAGGAGAGGGAGAATGATTTTAGTGGTTAGCTGCAATGATGTTACTTTCATGTTCAATAACGCAGTTACATTTTATAAAATACATAACATCAAAGTTTCGTAACTGAAGGATTTTTACCGTCTAGAATGAACCTTTCAGACGTCTGACATGTTCGCTCTGTAAAAATGTTCTAATGGATATCTAGAACGTTCATTTCTACCAGGAAACATAGAGATATCTAGATTACAGATCCAGTCTGTCTAATAAATGTTAAAAAGGCCACCTTAGGTTTTTTGGAGTACAGAAACGGTAACAGCATTGTAATTCATTAGATGACTCTGTTAAAAAAAACGCTGTTACACTTAAACGCCGTTACTCCCAACAGGGACATGGACAAAAGCTAAGCTGAAAGGTGAACTAAATATAAGAAGAAGCAAGCAAAAGAAACACGGGGGCCAGAGGTCATTGGCACGCGAGGACTAAACCAAATACCAAATAGAAACTAAACTGCACTGGAGGACAGCGGGGCAACTAAAATAAATGCTGAGGAGATAGGAGAACACCAAGGAGACAGGGTTAAAGGGGAGAGACATGGAAGGGACTGGGGACACACAGGACAGGGGCAGCAGAAGCTCAACAGGTTGAGCAGGGTTGTCCAGTAATCAGAAGGTTGCAGGTTCGATCCCGGCTCCAGACAGAGAATTCTGCTGTTGTGTCCTTGGGCTGGTGCTGATCGGACCAGTGGCACCCGTGCTCAGCAACCATGCCTCTGTCAGCGCGCCCCAGGGCAGCTGTGGCTACATCGTATCACCATCAGTGTGTGAGTGTGTAAGGCACTTTGGGGCATCCCTGGCAAGAATTAAAGCCTCCACCAATGTCTCTTTCATGTTTAAACTATGACTTCTTTTAGGTTAAACAGTTACATGAATTTTACTCGATTTTATGAATTATTTCCAGGTGAAGTGGAGCAGCGGAAACACTTCCTGTTTGTGTTTTGACATAAAAACCAACAAAGGTCTTAGCGTAATATTAAGCATTGATAAACTATGAAATAAAGTATTAACAACTGCTCAATATTAATGTTAATAAATGCATCACTAAGCAGACACCTCCCCTCAGCCACTTTTCCTAACCTTAAGGACACTTAATTGTTAACAATATCAGGAACATTAAAGGTGCAGTTGACTGATGAAACTATTATTTTATGTTTTTACTGATTATTATCAGTTGTTCTGAGTTTTTCTTGAAGGCTGAACATGAAAATAGTCTCCTACACATATGTCTGATAGGAAATAAAGGATTTAAAAAGCCTGACAGATCTACGTCACCCTGTGAATTAGCACCCATGGACTCATCCATCTTGACTCACGATGGGGAAGGCTGTTGTTGGTTTAACGTCCGGGAAACAGCAGAGAACATCTCGGCTAGTAGAAGCTAACCATTAGCATTAGCAACATCGTCACACAGCAGTAGCTGCTCCAGGCTTGTGTTGTTTGTGGAGGTAAATCATCCATGTTGCAAGTCAGTGGTAGAGTCGTGCTGCTGTTATCCAGTCAGAAGAAAGATGTCCAATATCAGGAAATAAGACACCAAAACCTGCTGTCTTTCATCCTCCATATTTGCCCAGAGATGTACTGAGAAGCATCCTGTCCGCTCAATAGTTGGTCAATGAGACCGCCGCAGATTGGTCTATGTGACAGCGATGAAAAGTTTAAATTTTCTCAACTTTCTGCAATTGTGTCGCTGGCTCGCCTGTACACGACACATGCATGAGTGCAAAATTTCACATGCACGTTTTGTTGCTTAGCAGGAGAAAGACCTGCAATTTTCGCTTTGCTGCTCATATCTCATTGAAAATGAATGAAGAGGTGGCGTCGCCTCTCATGTGTCCAGCCCATTAGACATCAAAAGATGGAAATCTTTGCCCATTCTTTGTTGCAAAATACCTCAAGCACCCCCAGACTGGAGGGAAAGTTTCTGTGAACTGTAATTTTCAAGTATTACCACAGATGCTCAAAACTTTGACAGGGCCATTCCAACACATGAATATTATTTTATTTGAACCGTTCCATTGTAGTCTAACCCCAACCCTCCACCAGGATTTTCTTCCATTATTGCTTAGCATTTACCTCCGTTCATATTCCCATCAACTCTGACCAGCTTCCCTGTCTCTGCTGAAGAAAAGCATCCCCACATCATGATGCCGCCACCACCATGTTCGACAGTGGGAATGGTGTGTTCAGGGTGAGGAGAGGTTTAACTTTTCCGCCACACAAAGAGCTTTGCATTTATACCAAAATGTTCAACTTTTGTTGAGATACAGTGTGTGTGTGTGTGTGTGTGTGTGTGTGTGTGTGTGTGTGTGTGTGTGTGATTAAGAGGAACTAAGATTTTCAGAATAAAGAGGAGGAGAACCAAAAAACAAGATGTGTTTCAGTAAGGGGAGTGATTTTACGGAATAGTCTTAATGACAGATTAAAAAATCTTGCTCGTTGAAAATATTCAAAAAGTGCTTTGGGGAAAAAACTCTGTTGGAAAATACTGTGTACAGACAAATTAATGTTTGACATCCGTTCATACATCCAGGTTTATTGTTTTGTTGATTCTAAGAAGATGTATGTAACGGCTGTTTTGTCATAATATGTTGCTTTTCATGAGCGTGTAAACTGTTTTGTAATGAGTTAATGGGTAGGCTTAAATAAGTTTAACTTCAGCCTATACCATTTCAATCATATGTGTATATATATATATATGTGTGTGTTTTCTCTCTTCCTTTGTCATATATGTGTTGTTATGCCTGAATAACACTCAACTCTTAACTCTACAGACAGCATTGTCTTGGTTGATTTAACATTTTTTTCATTTTTAATGGTCAATTTAACGAAGCTCCTTGGGATTTTTAACTTTTAATCTTTATACCTGACCTGTCTGGTCAGTTCCTTGGTTTTCATAATACTGTTTGTTCAATAGGGTTTCTAAAAAAACACTTTGGCTTTCACAGAACAGGTGTGTTAATAAGATTTACAAAAATGCTATTGTCTAATGATGTAACTTCAGAAGGAAAGTAATTACTTTGGATGTTTTTAGGGGTATCAGAGTTCATGGAACTGCCAACTCGTCAAAGCCTTGGAGTGAGACTGTCTTTATTTGAATCTTTATTTCTGTGTGTGATGAAACTGATAAAACTGGAAATAAAACAATCTATTTTCATGTACTTAGGTTTTACATTTATTGTCACTGCAGAACAGTTACATCCCATCATGGCTTTAAAATTATAAGCTTGCAGCATACAGGTAGCCAATTCTTGCCAGAAAATATATTTTGCTATTCAGAGTTAAATGCTGTGCAGGTTTTCTCCAACACACAGGTAACTCTGGAAAAATCAGGAAACATTGTAATAAGTCCATTTATTTCAGTAATTCAACTTAGACTGAGAGACTATTTAAGTTATTAATGGGTAATATGAAATAAATGTGTGTAGTTATAACTTTTAGCAGCATGAGTTTTTTAGTAATCAAACATTTCAGAAATAAAATTGCTAGTCATTATTTCAAGACCAATACATCTAAACACAGAGAAATTGATACGGATATTGGTTTATTTAAAAATGTACCTACCCACGTTGTTTAAAATCGGAAAAGAACTAATGTATTTAAATGTCACAATAAATGTATAGATTGTTCAAATAAATTAAATTAAAAAACAAATTCAACAAAAGTAACTAGTGGAAATATAGAATGCAATTCTTTTTTTTTTTCTTTTTTTACTGTTTGTCCAACTAAACATTTTAATTTAATTATTTGTAATCTGTCGTTTGATTTAATTAATGGTCACATAATCTGTCTAAAAGGGATTTATTTATGTTTTATTTAAGTCAACTGGATGGAAACACGAGAACTCAATCTCTGACTTTCGGGATTAAAGATATTTCCGCCCTCTGCTGGAGAGAAGCAGTTACTACAGTAAACTGCAGATTATTTCAAAATAAAACACATCACTTAAAAATTACTACAATTTTCAACAATGGCGTTAACAACATAGTCAAATAATCCAGAACTTCTTCCACAATACAAACTACTTAACCAAAACTCGATAAATCATCAGATGAATGCGGGGTATGATTGGGACAACGTCGTTTTGCGACAGAGACCATCGTCTTCCGGTGTAGAGCGTCACTTCCTAAATGATCATCTGACGTGTCTAAAACAGTTTTTCACCGGTGTTGGGTTTGTACTCGGGGGATATTTATCATACGTACTTGTGTTTTTCTGGTAAGAATTGTTGTTTACTAGAGAAAACACTTAAACTAGAGTTACAGAGCGATTTGTTTTGACCGATTTGATCGGTGTATCTTGTTGATCTCTGTGTGCTTTCGTTAAATCCAGATACGTGGTGACAAGATGCTGGATTTCTTCACCATCTTCAGCAAGGGGGGGATAGTGTTGTGGTGTTTTCAGGGAGCCGGAGTCACTGAATCTTTCACGGGGCCAGTTAACGCGTTGATCCGCTCGGTGATCCTCCAGGTAACCCACGCTGACCGGTCCACTTTCAACCCCCTTCCTGTATCTTCATCAAACTGTCACTTAGAGCTAATGCTAAGCTAATGCTAACTGTTAGCACTAGCTTTAGCCGTGGAGTAAACACGTTTCAAGTTTTTTTTGCGTATGTTTCTCGTTTCGTTTTGAAAGCGGATTTCTAAATAACGTTAAGTAGATACAGACATCCACATCTTGAGCTCATTTCTGTCTTTCTACAGGAGCGCGGCGGGAACAATTCATTTACCCATGAAGCTCTTAGTCTCAAATATAAACTGGACAATGAGTTCGAGTTGATTTTTGTGGTAAGTCACTGATGAGCATCCAGCCAACTCCCCATCTCCCGGTATTTATGATTAATTTCACTGTTCCACAAATGATAAGTCATTCTAGCTTCAGCCTTGTGGTGTGCTGCTGTGTGCAGGTGGGTTTTCAGAAGATCCTCACGTTGACGTACGTGGACAAGTTTATAGATGACGTCCAGCTTCACTTCAGGGATCGCTATAAGAATGAGCTGGAGCAAAAGGGCACTCTGAAGCTTCTTAACAGCACTTTTGCGTTTGAAGATGCATTCAGCGAACTCCTCAAGTAAACAAGACCAATCTGACTTTGCACACAGCTTCTGTTGAGTGTAAAAGGGTCCTTTCAACTAACCTGGTCCAGTTAGTGTAATAGGAAATTTCCAGCTACATCTAGACCTGATTACCATCAGACCTGTAAGATTAAGAAACTACTTTAATATAACCTGCCTGACAGAACAAAGTAGGCTGAAACGTCTAGCAATGTTCAAAATCAAAGGAACAACATCGGTTGAGGTCAGAGTTAATGTTTCAAAAGGGGAAAGTACTTGAGAATCCCGCTGATCAGGTTCCTGATTGTCTCCAACACATGCTACTCCAGGTTGCTCATTTTCCCCTAAAAGAAAAACAGTCTGACATTTGTGGTGTGGTATTTTACAAGTGCTGACAGCAGATTTTAAAGCAGCAATACATTCAATTCAAGTTCAATTGAATTCGAGTTTATTTATAAAGTGCCAAATCAGGACAAGAGTCGTCTCAAGGCACTTCACATGGTAAACATTCCAATCCAGGTCAGTTCATGAAGCCAATCGGTAAAATGTTTCCTATATAAGGAACCCAGCAAATTGCATCGAGTCACTGACTAGTGTCAGTGACTTTACAGCAATCCTCATAGTAAGCAAACATTTAGCGACAGTGGAGAGAAAAACTTCCTTTTAACAGGAAGAAACCTCCAGAGGATCCTGGCTCAGTATAAGCAGCCATCCACCACGACTCACTGGGGATCGAGAAGACAGAGCAGGCACACACACACACACACACACACCAAGTAGTGTTTCTATGGCTACATTGTGATTTCTTAGTAAATATTCTATTTGGTGAGAGGTAAACTTTATTGTATTTATCCTAGTGAATCTATAATTAAACAGGTAAACTAGTAGTAGCACATCCAATGTCAAAGAAAGTAAAATGTTATTATCAGGAGAGGGAGAATGTTTAAGTGGTTAGCAGCAGTATTCAAGCCAATGGCCCCCTCCACGAGGCCACCACAGCTCAGCAGAACATCGTCGTGGCTTCTTCTGGGGAGAAAAACACTTAGAGAAAAAATAAAGTTAACAGCTGAAATAGCATTCCTTGCTTCTCCCTCCTACTGGTTGAAAGCAGAATTGTAATTGCTGTAAACAACTCTGCTGCAGCCTGCTGTAGCTAGCGCTAACATTAGCAACTGCTACTAAATGGAAACATTAAGCAAAACTCTGTTGGACAAAAACTATTATGACTTACAAGTCTAGTAGCAACAAAGCCAGGTCATCATCAGTCTGTGATTTCATAGCCTCCTTCAGACCATCGGTGTAGATTAGCTCTTTACACTGGTGGGGACTTATAAATCTACCCCTTTATTAGTCAAAAATGTTTCAAATATTTCATGTGTCAGGCTTTAAATGATAAACTGTCTCTAAAGATAAAAGTCTGAATGGAAGTTGGCGAGCGAGAGAGAAAGAGAATCATGTGACACTGGAGGAATTGTTGGCTCTTTGAGTCTTGTGTGGTTATGTGTCTTAAAGTGGAGAAAGTTCAGAAAAGGGTGAGTGATCATGGAAGACAAATGAAAGATAACTTTACAAAGTGTCGCTATTACCAGGTGAGGAAAGGATGGATGCCTCAGCTGAGACAGTATTTTATGCCAGCAGACAGTCGGATGTGTTAACCGGATGTAAAATCATCTGAAATGATGTTTCACTAAACTAAGTCTTTCTTTGTCCTGACCAAAATCAACCAACACAAGACTGGCGGAGGAGAGCAGTAAAGCTCGGAGCCCCGCCCCCATGAGGTCCTTTAAGGAGTCTGAGAAGTCCCAAAAAACTGTGAAGTCAATGATAGAGACTAAGGGTGGAGACAAGGGCAAGGAGCAAGGTGGTAAAAAGAGTAAAAATACCAAAAAGGAGGGTGAGTGCTGTTTGTTACGAGTTGTAGTTCGCATGTTTGGTTCGTTGCTTCATTCAGTGGCGAATGTGTTGCAGCTCCTGCAGTTGAGCCTATCAAAGCTGATCAAGGCAAGATCACAGCTGCTGACCAGAAGACGGTTGTAAACGGCAACCAGGGCTTGACTCCTGAGGAAATCATGCTGAAGAAAAGGGAGGATTTTATCCTCAAACGCATGGGAACGTGTGAAAAACCCAAGTATGGCAGCTTAATTAAAGGTTTAAAGTCAGATAGAAAAGAGGATCTTGTTTTTAATTGCTTTCTGGTTTTGTCTACAGAAAGTCCCCGAAGCCTCAAAAGCCAAAGGAGAAACAAAAGCGCGTGTGGGACAATGCTGGCAGCAGTGACAAGAACCTGGACTACAGCGACAAGAATGGAGCCGGTTCTGGAGATGGAGAAAAGAATCTGGAAGCACAGTTTGACCCAGTATGTTCCACCTCTAAAGAGCTTGCTTAAGGAGCAGAAACGTCCGCTTCCCTCACGATGAAGAGGGTGCAAATAAAGTTCCTGAATGTGTTTTAGGAAATGCAGGTCAGCTCTATGAAAGGAGACCTGCTGTCTGTGGACTACGACTCCAGCGAGAACGGGGAGGAGGAGGAGGAAGAAGAGGAGGAGGAGGAAGAAGTGGTCATTAGGGGAACAAGCAAAATAAGGTACTTTTTTTTTACTTTATAGTTGAAAAATAAATTGTCAAATCTCAGTTGTTAACTCTTCTTCTGCCCCCCCCCCCCCCCCCCCCCCCCCCCCCAAAAGCCCTAAAAAGGGTGGTGGTTTTGGGGGGATGTTTGGGATGCTGAAGGGACTGGTGGGCTCCAAGAGCCTGTCCCGGGATGACATGGAGCCAGTGCTGGAGAAGATGAGAGACCACCTCATTGGTAAGATTTTTTTTCCACCCACTCTTTGACTCCTGCAGACTGCAACATTTCATTCTTTGCTAATCAAGGCTGAGCAGTTGAGCAAAATTCTATTTCGAGTTTGATTTTAACTCTAAACTTCCACAAACAATTGCAGAAAACACATTTTACTCCGCAGAAATGATTCCTTTCTAATTACTCGCATTTTGCCCCTTCTGAAAGTTAAGCTCATGTGTTTGTTTGTTTTTTGGCAGAACAAGGGTAAAACACACAGGCATGGTGTCATGCACCCTCCTTTTATCAGTAATGACCCCCACACAACCCATTAACCTTTTTCTGTATGGTTCTATTTCCAAACAGCTGACCAAACACATTTTTTATTTACCAACTTCCTGTTTGGACATCTGGGCTCCTGTAGCACTTCTTCTCTGTTTTAATAGCAATGCTGTTTGCACTTGTTTTTATTCATGTGATAGATAAGTCAGGTTGAAAATTGAGGGTTTATAGTGTCTAAAAGTCCAAATATCAAAACAACATTCCCCCTAAACTCAAACTGGTCTTTGTTTGTCTTTATGATTCCACAGCAAAGAATGTAGCGGCCGACATCGCCTCCCAGCTGTGTGACTCTGTTGCCAAAAAGCTGGAGGGCAAAGTCATGGGCACGTTCACCAGTAAGTACCCCATTTACCCCGCTCACAACTTAAGAATGACCTTTTGAATCTAGACTCTTTTACAACAACAATGATCTCACTTAAATAAAGCTGGTCTGTTGTGACGTCATCAGATCCAGTTTGTGATCACATTTTATGTCAATCCATTATAGTTATGGTCTCTAACAAATGGTGTGTGTGTGTGTGTGTGTGTGTGTGTGTGTGTGTGTGTGTGTGTGTGTGTGTGTGTGTGTGTGTGTGTGTGTGTGTGTGTGTGTAGCTGTGGCCTCAACAGTAAAGCAGGCCCTGCAGGACTCTCTGGTGCAGATCCTGCAGCCCAAACGCAGGGTGGACATTTTGAGAGACGTCATGGAGGCCCAGAGTCAACGCCGGCCTTTCGTCATCACATTTTGTGGTGTCAACGGAGTTGGGAAGTCTACCAACCTGGCAAAGGTGACTTTGATGGTTTTATGGTACTTCTAGCTTGTTGGAGTCTATATTTCTAGAGTTGTTTAGGACTTGAGTGAGTGACTGAGGGCTAGTGTGGACACGAGCATAAACTCCTCCCTGTCCTGGTGCAGATCTCCTACTGGCTGATAGAAAACGGTTTCAGCGTGTTGATTGCAGCGTGTGACACCTTTCGTGCTGGAGCTGTAGAGCAGCTTCGTACTCACCAACGCCGCCTGAACTCGCTGCACCCCCCGGAGAAGCACGGAGGACGCCCGGTGGTCCAGCTCTACGAGAAGGGCTATGGGAAGGATGCTGCTGGGATTGCTATGGAGGCCATTGCTTATGGTAAAATATTTAGCCCTTTTGTTGGTTTATCTCATCCTGGCCTGCCAGACTCGTCCTCTGTCTACACAGAGAACTTCCCATAAGGAAGCATGGGGCTGGCTGGTCAGGCTAGGTTTATCTACCAATGAGTCATTAATCTCCAATAATGAATCAGTGATTTCCTCTCATGGCTGTTGGTAAAAGTCCCTCTTTTGTTTTGTTTTGTTTTGCCTCTCCATTAGCTCGCAACCAGGCTTTTGATGTGGTGCTGGTGGACACCGCTGGGCGTATGCAGGACAACGCCCCGCTGATGACAGCTCTGGCCAAACTCATTGCAGTCAACATGCCTGATTTAGTGTTGTTTGTTGGGGAAGCTTTGGTGGGCAACGAGGCAGTCGATCAGTTGGTAAGATCACCGATAATCTTAAATGACTTGGTTATACGCATTTCTGTTGGTGGCTAAATTCAAATGGGTAGTTACAGATTTCCATTCGGGAAGTTTATTAAAAAGTGTAACGTCTTGTTTTCCAGTAAAAACCAAACTGCTGATAGTTGATCGTTTATATACGGCTGTGGATGAAATCATTGGTACATTCTCACTGAAAGAAAATCACAGTGGTCGGTGAAATACCTCGAAAATGGCAAAAGTAATAAATAAATAAATAGAATTTACTACAAATTAAAAATGTATGCTTTTAATTTGGGATTTAACAAAGCAAAATAAAACTGGCCATTTGTGAGGAAGTCACCGTGCCTTTTGGTATCGGGGTGTGTACCACACTGGTTATGAAACACCGAAGGCTAGAGGACCGTGTCCAAGCAGCTACAGGCTAGAAGATCCTCTCTAAACAGTGTGATGTTTCTATGGTTACAGGCGTGTATTATTCAGAGGTTTAAAGGCCCACAGGTCTGTAGTTAATCTCTCTGGCTGTACACAGTCCAAACCTTGTTGGCAAACTAAAGACACGGATACTGAGTGGTCACCAAAGACCTTAGAACTCCAAAGTCTAGGCTAATCATTGTCAGATCACTCCATCAATCCCTGTTTGAGCCAGAGAGAAGACGACTGAGGAGGACGCCAGTGTCTCAGTCGCTGTATTGGGTCCTCTCCTCGGTCAGGATAACAACCAAAAACACTTTAAAGCCTCTAAGAATGCTTCAGAACCACACATGGAGTTATTCTGAAGTGACGTTCTATGAGTCCTGATCTGAATCTGGTTGGATATCTGTGGAAGGAGCTGAAACATCTGGAACCCTTCAGTCTGAGACAGTTGGAGCAGTTTGCTGTTGAAGAATGAACCAGATGACCTGAGAAGTGGTGCAGATGTCTCACGGAGTTCCAGAAATTACACGATTCTCACAATCAAACAGCAAATCGGTGGTCCCATCATTTCAATCCAGGACAGTTTCATTACCTTGTTGAGTCTGGCAGACCAGGCTATCATTCAATATCCCTGAGTTTGTTGGACTGTTGTCATGGTGACGGCAGTGAATAGAGATTTGAGTGTTTTGGGTTCCTTATGATAACTGTCCAGCAGAGGTCAGCATCACCCCCTTTTAGCTGTTTTTCTGTTGATTAGTTTGTGTTTACACAGGTGTGTGTGCCTCCCTTCCCCTTCCTTTAAATAAACATCACCGGCCTTTTCAGCCGCGTCCTGATCAAATTTCACCTGCATCATTCTGTTGTCCTCAGGTAAAGTTCAATCAGGCGCTGGCAGACCACTCCATGTCTGACAAGCCACGCCTGATCGACGGAATTGTTCTCACGAAGTTCGACACCATCGATGACAAGGTTTGATATTTTAGTTCTTCCCCCGCACTACTGGTGATGTTTATGAACGCAGTCTGGTGTGTTTTTGCTGCTAATGTTTGTGTCTGGCTCATGATTTTGCAAGTAGAAAGCAATAGCACCTTGAGCGTCATCTCCTCTTCCTCACAGGTTGGTGCAGCCATCTCCATGACTTACATCACAGGCCAGCCCATCGTGTTTGTGGGAACAGGGCAGACCTACAACGACCTGCGTAGCCTGAACGCCCGCGCCGTGGTCAGCGCCCTGATGAAGGCTTAAAGTTGTCTGCATGTTCGGTTGTTTCCAAGGAGGCAAACTAACTTAAACGTGATCCAGGATGTCTCGCCCATCTTTTCACATCTGTTTACTACCCGTCTGCATCAAAAATGAACTCTTCTCACGAGATTTGATTCTCCTAGTGTCAGGAGAGACGGGGCTGTTCTTCAGCTGAAGCACACGGGAATGACCTTTTTGCAGAAATGAGTTCGAGGAGCGCTCCAAGTCTCTGACCCTAATTCGCACATTACACCCGTGCTTGGCCACCTTTGATCTGATTGGTAGATGTACAAAAAGAGGTCAAATAAATTCTGGATCTTACATCTTCGTCTCAGCTGATCTAAAGTCAGAGTGGATATTCTTTAAATCCTGTTTTTCTGCAAACTTACAACCGATCAGTGGACCATTAAAGAATATTTTAATTTGTTTTAATCTGTCAATTTCTATGTTCCTTTAAATTATATTAATTTTGTATTTGTTTTTCAGAAGGCTCATTTTTAAATGATCTTCAGCCCCCTTTAAGTCACGGCAGTGCAATATGAGGAGCGAGGGTTACGCTGAGGTTTGACTAATTTATGAGAATGTAAACATTTCTACATAAATAAAGCTGCTACATGCTAAATCTACCAGTGCAGTGGGACTTGTTTTTGGAGACGCAGGACAAGAGGAATACCAAAAGCTTTTAATTTGAAAAGACAATACCAGACACATACAAATATTAAAAATACAAAAAAGGAAAACAGCTTAAAGACCATTTCAGCACAGAGGTGGGAACTGCTTTATATCCTGACCTCACATGAACTCATTCGTCCTTCCCCAACTGTCAAATTTTCCTAATTAATGTGAATCGTTCCAGTTGCAGCACTGGGTGTGACCCATCCAGTCAGGCACATGGTGTGGTTTGCAGACTGTTCTCTTAAACTATGTTGGAACAATCCCAGTGCATAAATCTGATGGGTTACAAGGTGAGTGTTGAAAGATTTAATAAAAGGAGCACAAAGAAATCCTGACAGATTTACGATCAAAATCCTTTTTATAAAGCCAACCTGAAGAGACGATCTAAAACATGCACCTGTTAGGAGCAACAACCTGGGGCAAAAGAACAGAACGATTTCAAAACATTTGAAAAATAAACGGCGTCAGTGTGCATGCAGAGGGGTGTGTGTGTGTGTAAGAGGACCCAGAAGTTTGTTTTATCCCTCTTCTTTCTCAAAGCAACAGCACACAGTAAGAAAACAAGAGTCCCAACTGAGTTTTGGTGATGTCATCCAGAAAAGGTCTTTCACAAGACGCCACTTCTCCAAGTCCCAGAGCAGCCCTAGGTCCTAACCCTGGAGGAGGCTCTTCTGCGTGTTAAAGCCATTCTGCTGCTCCTCGCCAGTTTGTGACGGCGATCCTGTGGCTGCAAACACAAAAATAAGAATGAGCACAAGTCAGTCTACAACCTGCATCGATCACACTAGTTTGGCTCCGTATCATTTTTAAGGATGTGTTCTTTGTGCTGTGTGCATAACAACTGTGTGGTACAGATAGAAACATTTTAAATCTGTCCTGCTCAGTAAACTGGGTTCATGGATCCAGGTTTGGTTTTTCCTTGTGTGGAGAGATAGGGCAAACTCCCGGTGTAGCCGGCTAACCGGTACGGCGGCTGCAGCGGCCAAAATACCTCAAACTACCATGCATCTTTCTTTACTCCTTGGAGTACACAGAGATTTCAGCCACATTAGACCGTGCTGCAGGACCCACGTGAGCGTACCGGATGTAATTACTTCATGACATTAGCACATCATTTTTGCTGGGCATGAAACATAGTATATGCCCCAAACAAGTGGATAATAGAAGTGGCTGTGTGCCATCTGAGACATGAAGCTTTGACTCAACTGATTTTTTTTTTGCAAATATTTTATAAGAAAAATAGATTTTTTTTTGGTATACAAGGGGCAAACTCCATCTGCCAAAAGTGAAGCCAACGTGGACGCAACAAAAGTTGCGGTTCCCCTCTCATCCTCTAGGGACTGGACACAGAAAGGAGCAAGTTCCCATCGACTCCCATGTTAAAATTGCCAACTTTCGGCTTAGAGTTTGTTAGGCGTCGATCATCCGTCCACAATCACAGCCTCGCTCTCGACTCTTCCAGGAGTAACGAGACACAGCCAAGATGGCGGTGGTGGGATCTCAATGGGCTCCAATTCAGGCCTATCAGAAAGCAACAGGGAATGGCGCAGAGGGTCTGTTGCTTATTTATTAAGGGGTAATCACCCCAAAATCATCATATTGGAGTGACATTTAGGTGATGTTAGGGTGATCACAACAAAATCATGCCACTCTTCCCATGGTCATTTAGATGTAACATTTGTGAGGATGCACGCTCCAAACCAAGAGATCATGTTCTCTGGTGAGGAAGAGACGCATGCAGGCGTTTGAACTGGCCAGGCAGACTGAAACATGAACACACCCAAAATAAGAAAAGGTTCTGTGTTTTTTGCTAATAATTTTGCCATGGCAAATCGGATCACTTAGAAAAGTAACGGCACACTTCCCACGGCTGAGCCGCTCATTTCAATGTAAAATTAGTGGGGGTGCACACAGCCGTCGGAGCCGCATTAACATCTGTGAAAGAATAATAAAGAGATCAAATCCTCCGGCGAAGAACAATAAAGACCCTGCTTGCCGCAGCAGCAGGTCCCTTAATTATAAACCAAACTTTATTAGCATAGCATTTTAAAAACAACACGTAGTTGACCAAAGTGCTTTACAACACAAATGCAGAATACACAATAAAATAATAAAAGAAGAAAGCATTCAACATAAAGTTAGAGTCAGATAAACACCGCTTTAGAAGCCAACGCATAAAAGTACATTTTCAGTCTGGACGTAAAGTCAGCCACTGAAGAAGACCGCCTAACATCATTCCAAAGTCTTGGGGCTACAATTGAGAAAGCTCCGCCTCCTCTTAGTTTCAGCCGTGATATAGGGATAACCTAGCCTAGTGAACTAGACCACATTCTTGCTTTGCAAAGTTTGGTCTACGCTCCATTGGAACCACTGCAGCTCCTACCAGGACTCTGGCTAGCCAATCACAACTCTCTAGAGGGGTTTCAAACACACAAAGAGCTGTGACTGGTCCATAATGGTGGGCCAATCATAGTGCTCTATCTGCTTGGTGAACAAATCACAGAGCTTTATCCGCTTTGTGGGCCAATCAGGGCACTCTATATGCCTGGTGGGTGGGATGATGCAACAGAGTGAAACAAGAGTATGTCACATTCTTTGTCCAGTGGAATGCGGAGATTATTTGAAAGACAACGGTAGAACCCGCCCCACAACCGAGAGCCGTCAATGGAGCGTGGCCAGACTAAATAATACATTTATTTAGTCTGGCTTGCCAGGCTAGTGATAACCAGCAACAGCTGACTGAAGTGGCCGAGAGGCAGCATAAGGCCGGAGCAAAATGGACAAGTAAATCAGTGCAAAACCATTTAATGACTTAAAACCAATTAAAAAAATTAAAAATAAGTAAAATTAAATGGAAGCCAGTGTAGAGGCCAGGCTATAATACACACACACACACACACACACACACACACACACACACACACACACACACACACACACACACACACACACACACACACACACACACACACACACACACATATATATATATATATATATATATATATATATATATATATATGTGTGTGTGTGTGTGTGTGTGTGTGTGTGTGTGTGTGTGTGTGTGTGTATGTATGTATGTATGTATGTATGTATGTATGTATGTATGTATGTATATATATATATATATATATATATATATATATATATATATATATATATGTGTGTGTGTGTGTGTGTGTGTGTGTGTGTGTAAATAAAAAATAGGGCTTTCATTTTTTATTATCAAATTTACTGACATGGGAAAATTTCTCGATAAGAGTAAGAAATTTTGATAACGATACATTTTCGATTTATTGCCCAGCCCTAAGTGGTATTTTCACATGTAAACAAAGGAAACGCACATGCATGAAGCATATTTGTTTTGGTTTTATATTTGGAATAATAAAAAAAAGCTGCATAAATGAACAAACATTAAAAAAGGTCAAGAAATGTTATTTTGGCTTCTTTTTTCCATTTACTTAAAGTTAAGCTGCATTTCTTTCCCTTTATGCAACAAAACTGAACCGCGTTTCAGGTTTCAGAATAACTTATCACCTGACCTGAAGCGTAATTATAGGAGGATCTTTGTTGGCATCTTTGTGCACAAGCGTGAGTGGCTGTCTGGCAAGAAAACACACAATATCACACAAGACGTACACCTTAAAAACACTATCATCTAAAGACAGGACCGAAGATAAAATTAAAGCTATTAAAAGCCTGCGAGCTGTGGGATGATGAAAAACGTGGGTCTGATTCACCTGAGCTTTTTTCACAAATCTGCTGGAGAGACATTTATTCCTAATTAATAGAAAGCTTTATAAATTAATAGACCCTTCACTCATCAAAAGTTGAAGGCTTTCAGAAGTCTGGAGGCCTACAATAGTTCGGGCGGATTTCTTCTGCGAAACTGAACGTCGTGGTCGTGCTAAAAGCAGCGGCGAGCAGTTACAGCATGATTCACATCACCCGCGGGTGGTTCCCAAACAGATAAATCATCTGCAACTGCAAAGCTGAGCAAACTTCATTAATCAGTGCCCTTATTTATTTCTTTATTCATTATTATAATGATCGCGGGTTGAGACACGTGAATCAGAATGCAAGAACAATGCGACTATATGACAACAAGATGAATGTTTTCAAAACCATCTTCTCTAATTAACAAATACTTCGTCACGAGGACTTACCATGACCAAAATGAGCCTCACAAACTGTCCGTTGTGGCAGGACTCCAGGCTTCCTGCGGACGGTTCGGGTTGTTTCCTATCATCTATTTCGTATTTCGCGGTCCTTTACGAGATGAAATTCCAATAAAATTTGATCAAGCCTTCCACGGGCCGAACAACCAACCACACAGCAAGAATGATTCATCTGCATTTGCTAAATCCTCCAAATGTGCAAAACCATCGAATTAGAGGCTAAATATGCGGTTTGTCGCCACACAACACAACCCTGTGATGCAACGCGAGAAACAAACACCGACGTCAAAAAAGATCCTCCTGTTGTGCAGCTGGGCAAACATGAATCAGTGTGGATCTTTCTTTCATTAGCATCACTTGGTGGCAGAGATCTAAATAACACATTTGAATACAATTAGATGGAAAAACAACAAAAACTAGAATTTTAATTGCCGTTTTGAAAACAGAAGAGTATTATTTTAGGTAGTTTTTGGTCAACAAAAAGCCACGACAGTAACCTGCGTTGGAGACACTTCTAGCAGCCATTGTGTGTTTTTACAGGATGCAACATATTCATTTTGCACTGAACACAATGTTTACCTCTTTACGAAAAACCCAACTAAAAATGTAAATGATGACTATGTAAACCACAGAGCTCTCACCCCAGCTGTTGGTCAACACGTCTCTGTTGCAGATCTCGTTAGCCAGCCTCTCAAAGTACTCAGGCAGGTCGGCGTACTCGTCTCCATAGGAGATGACCTTGATGCCCTTGTCCAGCATGTTGTCACGTAGCTTTTTGAACTCCCCCACATCCTCCCGCCGCACAAGCATGAAGTGTTCCAGGTCAGACTTGTGCTTGACGGCCTCCAGGAAAAGGGCCTGGAAGGTCGTGT